GTGTTCACACAGTGATTTGTAGTCGTACAAAAACCTCCCTCAGTCAGACTGCAGAGACACTGAGCCGTTAGAGCAGGAAGAGACTCTGACACAGACCACTGAACACAGAACTGACAGTCACCTCACCAAACATGAAATACAGATTCCTGTATGAGCATATTTTACATAGGTTTTTATATTTATTTATTTTCATAACATATTAAAAGAGTATGAGAGAAATTGTTATAATCAAAATACCATGGTGTTAATGTTTTTACAGAGGATACTGTCAGTAGAAGTTGTGAAAAACCGAGAAATACGAATCAAGATGAAGATGTTTTTGTCATTGCTAAAAAAACAAACATGTTTTCAGGAAAACTGTTATTTGCTTTTTTGCATGAGACCACTCATGATTGGCCAGCCCACCAGGGGTCTGCAAGGCCACCAGTCACTTGATGTCCGAACATTTTGCCCAAAATCAAAAGAGTTGAACAATCTAAACCAGATCACTAAAAATACCCTTGTAAAGAAATCGTTTCAATGCAAAAATAGCACCAAATGTGCATGGCTTACATTCATAGATAAAAAGACACTGGTTGTTCAGTAGGGTTATGTTTAACTTTAGCAAGATCTTCCTGTAACAATTGGAATGAATGACTGGAGACACATTGATGAAAGAACTGAGCGACATGGGAAAACTGTCCATGGTTTTAGCCCAACAACCATGGTGATGCCAACTTGATATCTATTGCTTAGCCTATGTTACAAATAATCTGATATTGTAGTGATATGTTGGGGGAAAATGGGGCCGGTCCAGACCAAAATTGACCACTTAACACGGAGCTGACAGTAACCTCACCAAGCAATAAATACAAATTCACATTTGTATTGCTTTATTTTGTTTTTTTAAGATATATTTTTCATTTTTACCTGATGTGAAACAAGCAGCATTTCTCCTGATGTTGTGTCCCACGTTGCCTTCAGTCTGTTGAGAGCAGAGAAATCATTTCCATAGAGAGGAGGCTTTGCATCGTCAGCTGATCCTCCAGTGAACTGAGAAGGTTTATAGTCCTGTGAGTTGAACACTGCAGGACTCAGATCTGTCAGTCAACACAGCAGAAAGCACAACCACCATGACTCTCATCACCATCCTCATCTGGACGCTGGCCTGCTGCTGTTTTACAGGTTGATTCACTCAGCAACATTTGAAACATGATGTGCTGCCTTTTCTCTCATTTCTTTCTGCTGATAAATGAATGATTTGTTTTTGTCTGCAGGATGCAGCGGTCAGGTGACTGTGACTCAGCCTCCAGTAGAGACATTTACTCCAGGATCCACTGTCACTCTCACCTGTAGAACCAGCCAAGATGTTTATTCCAACTGTAACAATATTGGTCAGTGCATGTTCTGGTACCAACAGAAATCTGGACAGACTCCAAAGCTCCTAATAACATATGTGAGCACACGTGAATCAGGAACACCAGCTCGGTTTAGTGGCAGTGGAAGCAGCTCTGACTTCAGTTTGACCATCAGTGGAGTTCAGACTGAAGATGCAGCAGTTTATTACTGTCAGAGTGTACATAACATCGGCCGTAACTGGCCATTCACACAGTGATTTGTAGTCGTACAAAAACCTCCCTCAGTCAGACTGAAGTGAAAACAGCCTGCTGCAGGTGCAGAGGGTTGGTGAAGAGACTGTGAGGAGGAGAACTGGTTCAGTGAACACAACACAAGAGTCATCAAGCAGAACCACAATGAACTTAATAAAAGTGAAACAAACTCAGAGACAGTTTCTAACATGAAGCTTTCACTTAAATTCTCATCATCAAATCTCAAATATTTCCACTAATAGAAAAACATGTCCAATAGTATTTCCACTAATAGTTTTATATTCATAGGAAAAACAAAATATATTAACCTGTTACATAAAAATAGTCTAATTGTTAACAAATAATGAAGGACCTCTGATGGAAGATAAATTGTGATTAAATGTGAACTTTGCATGAATGATATAAAGCAAAATAAACACAGAGACAGTGATTTATTATAAGCTGTTTAGTTTTATTGTTTAGATGAAAATGTTGAAAGACATTATGAGAATAATAACTATGAAGCAGAATATGAGTGAGATTAGTTACAGGAAGCTGCAGGCACATTAAAACACAATGATGAGTTTGCAGAAATATGTGAAGAGAGGAGATCTGTAGCTTCATCAAGATCTCTATCAAAGAAGCAGCATCACCTCCAGACAGGAAGTGCTGCTGAAGCTCTACTCTGAGCAGCGGTCAGGCTCCAGGGTTTGAGTGACAGGGCTCTGTCCAGTCAGACCGGCCTCACAGCTCACTGAGCCCGCCTTCCTCCACTGGTCTGCAGGGAGGCTCAGGGTGCTGCTCCAGCTGTAGTGGCCGTCCCTCCCCAGGTCCTCCAGGCTGTTTGACACCCCTGAGGAGCTGCTGCTGCCCCCCACCTTCCAGCCCAGCCTCCAGGCTGAGGGGAAGCCTCCGCTGGCCAGACACACCACTGTGGCACTGCCCTTCTGCAGCTCCTCTACGGAGGGGGGGAGGACGGTCAGGGTGGGCCGCACCACCCCCACTGGAGGAGAGAGAGGGGGGAGAAAACACAAAGGAATGAGAATGAAGGCTTGGTAATAAAGAAACACGACATACTGCTCATTTCTTGTATCTGATCAAATGAAACAGAAGAACTTGTTCTACTGTTGCTCTCATAAATCACTCAGCATCAGACCATCAGCCACATGATTCAAGTGGATAAAGGCTGATTGATAATGATTATTGATGACATCTTCACATGTGTTTGATAATGTGTGACAGTGTATAACTCATCCCTGTGAAGATTTTCTTCTGTTTAAAGTGACAGAGCTGAAACACTCATGTGAAGACAGTTCAAACCTTTGTCATCTGTCTCTTTCACTTCCTTTTCAGCACATGGAAAATGAATGAAGCGTGAACACAAAGCTGAGCTGCTTTTACTGATTAAATCATGTTTGTGTTGAACAGGAATCCACATCAGGTTTTAGTTCAACGTTGTTATTTTTCAAAAGGAATAAATGAAAACTAAATGAAACTTTTGACGTTTGGTTTGAAGACTAAACATTTTACTGTCAAACATTTTGAAGCAGATAATGAGTCATCAGACTGTGAGATCAGCTTTTCTTGATAAATTACAAAGATTATTAACAATATTCAAAAACTGAACTTAATCACAGTCTCATTGAATATTTGATAAAACTTATAAATGTTTTATGTTGTTCAATATAAAAATCTCTGGTACTTACAGTCAACGACGAGTTTGGTTCCTCCACCAAAAGTGTTCCACAGTGATACAAACTCATGAAGTGGCCGTACAAAAACCTCCTGCACTGTGAACAAGCTTCTATCCACTGAAAACAACCTCCTCTTGTTCTGATAACTCAATAAAATATAAATCAGTTTAATCTACAAAGTGTTTTAAAGGTATAGATTGAAAATAATGTATAAATTAAGATGATTTCTTGAGTTTTGTTCAACTTTTCTAAACCTGACAGAGAAACCATCACAGTCTCCTTGTAACAAAGTCACATTTTTCACAGTTTATATCGGTTGATACGTGATTAAATTAACATGATCCTTTTAATGATAATGATTCATTTTAAGCATCATTCAAATATATGATTAATGTAGAGTAAACACTAAAGGCAGACAAACAGACACATCATACCAACCACAGTGGACACAAACTGATCCTTAAATCCTCAACTGCACTTCTAATATAAATATTTCCTTCTCTTCCATTAAGATGATATTTAGTGTAAATCCAAGCAGCATTTCTCCTGATGTTGTGTCCCACGTTGCCTTCAGTCTGTTGAGAGCAGAGAAATCATTTCCATAGAGAGGAGGCTTTGCATCGTCAGCTGATCCTCCAGTGAACTGAGAAGGTTTATAGTCCTGTGAGTTGAACACTGCAGGACTCAGATCTGTCAGTCAACACAGCAGAAAGCACAACCACCATGACTCTCATCACCATCCTCATCTGGACGCTGGCCTGCTGCTGTTTTACAGGTTGATTCACTCAGCAACATTTCAAACATGATGTGCTGCCTTTTCTCTCATTTCTTTCTGCTGATAAATGAATGATTTGTTTTTGTCTGCAGGATGCAGCGGTCAGGTGACTGTGACTCAGCCTCCAGTAGAGACATTTACTCCAGGATCCACTGTCACTCTCACCTGTAAAACCAACCCAGCTGTTTATATAGATAGTGATGGAGATCAGGCTATGTTCTGGTACCAACAGAAATCTGGACAGGCTCCAAAGCTCCTAATAACATATGTGAGCACACGTGAATCAGGAACACCAACTCGGTTTAGTGGCAGTGGAAGCAGCTCTGACTTCAGTTTGACCATCAGTGGAGTTCAGACTGAAGATGCAGCAGTTTATTACTGTCAGAGTCTACATGAAATAAACAGTGCTGGTGTGTTCACACAGTGATTTGTAGTCGTACAAAAACCTCCCTCAGTCAGACTGCAGAGACACTGAGCCGTTAGAGCAGGAAGAGACTCTGACACAGACCACTGAACACAGAGCTGACAGTCACCTCACCAAGCACAAACTGTTATACATTTACACATATACAAGAAAAACAAATGAACAAAAAAAAAAACAGCACTTCAATAAGGTTTTTGTATCAGCCTCTAAGGTTCCCTCTCAGACTTACAAGGCATGAAACAACAAAATGATTTATTTTTTTTTGGGTTTTACAATCCTCAGCACTTCCTCTCAATAAACAGAATAGTGCTGTGAAACATTTCTTAAACAGATGAATGAAGATAATGAACATGATGATTCTCCACATCATTCAACCATTAACAGTAAAAGTATATCAAGTTTGTCAGTGAAGATTGTAGTAAATTTTCCACGTGTTGTCTGAGGGGTCTGGGAGGGCAGTGGGCGGGGGGTCTCCACACGATAATATATACTACTCCTGTGTGTTATTATATATAATGTCCCCACTGTTCCTCTACAAAAACAGACCCACTAAGAATGATCTGTGACGCTTAACATCCCCTAAATGTGACTGATTGAATCAGAAATTCTTGATTTTATACTTTACTTAGTTGAAAACAGTCGTGATGTTGTTATGAAGTGTGCAGGGAAAGATCAGGTGAAAACTAATATGATATAACAAGGGAAAAACAAAGTAATTCAAAAACATTTTAAAAGTTTGGACCTGTTCTCTTCGAGTTCAGTTCTAATGCAGTTTGCCAGCAGGGGACGCCATGCACCTGGTAATGAGGACAAAGTCATTTGAGACAAGACAACAAGAAGACAGAAATGTTGACACTGAAGAGAAACAGCAATGAAGAAAATAATAAAGTCAAAAATGTTCCAGATTGAAACAATTTTAATTCTGCTTCTATTATATTTCCCTCTCTTCCATTAAGATGATATTTAGTGTAAATCCAAGCAGCATTTCTCCTGATGTTGTGTCCCACGTTGCCTTCAGTCTGTTGAGAGCAGAGAAATCATTTCCATAGAGAGGAGGCTTTGCATCGTCAGCTGATCCTCCAGTGAACTGAGAAGGTTTATAGTCCTGTGAGTTGAACACTGCAGGACTCAGATCTGTCAGTCAACACAGCAGAAAGCACAACCACCATGACTCTCATCACCATCCTCATCTGGACGCTGGCCTGCTGCTGTCTCAAAGGTCAGGATCATTTTGAACATCAATTTTGAAAATTATCTGACCATTAAAACCATTCACATAGACAAGGTAGTTATATACAACAAATATGTAGAGTCTGCCAACTGAAAGTAGTTAATTAATACACACTGTGTTGTTCTTTTTTCAGGCTCTACTAGTCAAGTGACTGTGACTCAGCCTGCTTTAGTCACATCTTCTCTTCTATCCACTGTCACTCTGACATGTGAAACCAACCCAAAGGTTGATACTTGGTCAGATGGAGATAGTAGAGTACACTGGTATCAGCAGAAATCTGGAGAAACTCCCAAATTAGTCATCAAATTGGGTCAAAATGCTACAAGTGATTTTTCTTCCCGTTTCTCTGGTCGAGGAGACGGAGTGAACGCTGTGATGACCATCAGTGGAGTTCAGACTGAAGATGCAGCAGTTTATTACTGTAAAGGTATTCACGAAATAAACAGTGCCTGGGTGTTCACACAGTGGTTTGTAGTCGTACAAAAACCTCCTTCAGTGTGACTGAAGTGAAAACAGCCTGCTGCAGGTGCAGAGGGTTGGTGAAGAGACTGTGAGAAGGAGAACTGGTTCAGTGAACACAACACAAGAGTCATCAAGCAGAACCACAATGAACCTAAATAGAACTGAAACAAACTCAGAGACAGTTTCTAACATGAAGCTTTCACTTAAATTCTCATCATCAAATCTCATCCATTAAGAACAGGATCATTGTTATCAACATTTCCACTAATAGTAAAAAATGTTCAACAGCATTTTCACTAATAGTTTTATATTCATGAAAAATCAAATGGTTTAAAAATGATAAAACTATTATACTTAAATCTTGATTGATATATATTGATGAACAGACGTGACTTGAGGATGAAGGACCTCTGATGGAAGATAAATTGTGATTAAATGTGAACTTTGCATGAATGATATAAAGCAAAATAAACACAGAGACAATGATTTATTATAAGCTGTTTAGTTTTATTGTTTAGATGAAAATGTTGAAAGACATTATGAGAATAATAACTATGAAGCAGAATATGAGTGAGATTAGTTACAGGAAGCTGCAGGCACATTAAAACACAATGATGAGTTTGCAGAAATATGTGAAGAGAGGAGATCTGTAGCTTCATCAAGATCTCTATCAAAGAAGCAGCATCACCTCCAGACAGGAAGTGCTGCTGAAGCTCTACTCTGAGCAGCGGTCAGGCTCCAGGGTTTGAGTGACAGGGCTCTGTCCAGTCAGACCGGCCTCACAGCTCACTGAGCCCGCCTTCCTCCACTGGTCTGCAGGGAGGCTCAGGGTGCTGCTCCAGCTGTAGTGGCCGTCCCTCCCCAGGTCCTCCAGGCTGTTTGACACCCCTGAGGAGCTGCTGCTGCCCCCCACCTTCCAGCCCAGCCTCCAGGCTGAGGGGAAGCCTCCGCTGGCCAGACACACCACTGTGGCACTGCCCTTCTGCAGCTCCTCTACGGAGGGGGGGAGGACGGTCAGGGTGGGCCGCACCACCCCCACTGGAGGAGAGAGAGGGGGGAGAAAACACAAAGGAATGAGAATGAAGGCTTGGTAATAAAGAAACACGACATACTGCTCATTTCTTGTATCTGATCAAATGAAACAGAAGAACTTGTTCTACTGTTGCTCTCATAAATCACTCAGCATCAGACCATCAGCCACATGATTCAAGTGGATAAAGGCTGATTGATAATGATTATTGATGACATCTTCACATGTGTTTGATAATGTGTGACAGTGTATAACTCATCCCTGTGAAGATTTTCTTCTGTTTAAAGTGACAGAGCTGAAACACTCATGTGAAGACAGTTCAAACCTTTGTCATCTGTCTCTTTCACTTCCTTTTCAGCACATGGAAAATGAATGAAGCGTGAACACAAAGCTGAGCTGCTTTTACTGATTAAATCATGTTTGTGTTGAACAGGAATCCACATCAGGTTTTAGTTCAACGTTGTTATTTTTCAAAAGGAATAAATGAAAACTAAATGAAACTTTTGACGTTTGGTTTGAAGACTAAACATTTTACTGTCAAACATTTTGAAGCAGATAATGAGTCATCAGACTGTGAGATCAGCTTTTCTTGATAAATTACAAAGATTATTAACAATATTCAAAAACTGAACTTAATCACAGTCTCATTGAATATTTGATAAAACTTATAAATGTTTTATGTTGTTCAATATAAAAATCTCTGGTACTTACAGTCAACGACGAGTTTGGTTCCTCCACCAAAAGTCCTCCACAGTGATACAAACTCATGAAGTGGCCGTACAAAAACCTCCTGCACTGTGAACAAGCATCTATCCACTGAAAACAACCTCCTCTTGTTCTGATAACTCAATAAAATATAAACTATTTTAATCTACAAAGTGTTTTAAAGGTATAGATTGAAAATAATGTATAAATTAAGATGATTTCTTGAGTTTTGTTCAACTTTTCTAAACCTGACAGAGAAACCATCACAGTCTCCTTGTAACAAAGTCACATTTTTCACAGTTTATATCAGTTGATACGTGATTAAATGAACATGATCCTTTTAATGATAATGATTCATTTTAAGCATCATTCAAATATATGATTAATGTAGAGTAAACACTAAAGGCAGACAAACAGACACATCATACCAACCACAGTGGACACAAACTGATCCTTAAATCCTCAACTGCACTTCTAATATAAATATTTCCTTCTCTTCCATTAAGATGATATTTAGTGTAAATCCAAGCAGCATTTCTCCTGATGTTGTGTCCCACGTTGCCTTCAGTCTGTTGAGAGCAGAGAAATCATTTCCATAGAGAGGAGGCTTTGCATCGTCAGCTGATCCTCCAGTGAACTGAGAAGGTTTATAGTCCTGTGAGTTGAACACTGCAGGACTCAGATCTGTCAGTCAACACAGCAGAAAGCACAACCACCATGACTCTCATCACCATCCTCATCTGGACGCTGGCCTGCTGCTGTTTTACAGGTTGATTCACTCAGCAACATTTCAAACATGATGTGGCTGCCTTTTCTCTCATTTCTTTCTGCTGATAAATGAATGATTTGTTTTTGTCTGCAGGATGCAGCGGTCAGGTGACTGTGACTCAGCCTCCAGTAAAGACAACTACTCCAGGATCCACTGTCACTCTCACCTGTAAAACCAACCCAGCTGTTTATATAGATAGTGATGGAGATCACGCTATGTCCTGGTACCAACAGAAATCTGGACAGGCTCCAAAGCTCCTAATAACATATGTGAGCACACGTGAATCAGGAACACCAACTCGGTTTAGTGGCAGTGGAAGCAGCTCTGACTTCAGTTTGACCATCAGTGGAGTTCAGACTGAAGATGCAGCAGTTTATTACTGTCAGAGTGCACATGAAATAAACAGTGCTGGTGTGTTCACACAGTGATTTGTAGTCGTACAAAAACCTCCCTCAGTCAGACTGCAGAGACACTGAGCCGTTAGAGCAGGAAGAGACTCTGACACAGACCACTGAACACAGAGCTGACAGTCACCTCACCAAGCACAAACTGTTATACATTTACACATATACAAGAAAAACAAATGAACAAAAAAAAAAAAAACAGCACTTCAATAAGGTTTTTGTATCATATTGTGTGAAAATAAAGTTCATCACGTACCACCGCATGGGCATAAAAATGTCCACTAGTACTATGCCCTCACCCAGACCCGCTCAGAAACAGTAAGGCATAAAAAATGTCAAAAACATCAATTAGTATAACAGCGCTGATGGAGCAATAAAAATTAGATATTTAATCAACATCATAGGTACAGGAATGATACCAAAAATGTATATCATATTGTATCAGTTAATTGGACCTCACACAAATACACGCATATGAAATAGTAATAACTTATTAAACTATGTAAACGATCTATAGTATGAGGGTTGAATGTATATTGGGAGAAATCATGCAATGCTTCATAACAAATAAGTGATACATCAAAAAAGGTTATTTCATTGTTGGCATAAATAATTGTGAAAAATCAATCATACGTATAGTAAGGCATAAAAATGTAAAAATGTCATATCATCTGTTATTAATAGAAAATTGGATTTGTGTGATCAACACAGATAAGTAATGTGTCATCTTGAGTATTAAGTGTGTGAGAGGAAAGTGCTGAAGGATTGTAAAACCCAAAATCATCATTTGTTGTTTCATGCCTCGTAAGTCCTGAGAGGGAACGCGGCATGAACAATTATGCAAGAGATAAGTACGTAGTAATAAGTATGGCATAAAAGTCACAAAAGGTCATAAGTAATAGTAAATGGCAATAAAATTTCAAAGAGAACGTCCATACTATAGTTAGCGAGAAAAATTCAAATAACTTATAGGTAGTAAATGCCATTGAAAAAATGTCATAAGTACATAAGGACTAAAATCTGTCTAATGTAGATAAGTTAAGTAGTGCTAATACAAACATTGTCCAAAAACTACATGCGTATAGTAAGCATGAAAATGTCAAAATACTCATAGCACATATGATGAAAAATGTTATCATATAGTATTAGCAAGTAAAAAACTGGGCACAAATAACACGTCCATTAGTATAATAACATGGTACTATCAAAATGTCATTGTATAATATGGCAATAAAAAACGTGCTCAAAAAACATCATAGTATAACGATTATATGACCGTAAGAGAAATATCATAATACTCAAGTATGGCATAAAAATGTCAAAGAATGTCATAGTATAGTATCGGCCTAAAAATATCATAAACATAATAGTATGTGTGACAAAAAAC